TGTAATAATTCTTTAGTATATTACTTGTGTGGTGTAGAAGATAATTATTTAAGAATGTAATTATGTAAGAATGTTAACAGTTATAATTTTTTAGTATATTACTTGTGTGGTGTAGAAGAGAATTATTTACTGCTTGCAAACCAATGATGGTAAGATGATGTCATGGGGTAGGACTGGATAAGTCTGACTTCTTCCTACTCCATTCAAGCATGTACTAGGTATAAGCAAATTGATATTGGATTATGTGTAAAATTATGTGTGTTGTCATATCAACTGTTTTTACATGCTTGAAAGAATAAATCAAATCAATATTGGAAGAGGAAAGTTTACAAAAGGTCACAGCAAGGCTGTTTGGTTAAAACATGTACCCATCAGCAAACTAGCATACATTTAACTTTCAAAGCTTCTGCACATATTGTATTTCACCTGTTGATCTTTCCTATCTCTTCACACAGTCTGGAGAGATACTGGGTGAGCTTCACCATCATGATGATGAGGGTCCCACCTGTGAGCATGCAAGAGGGCCAGAGCAGCGAGAGGAAAATGACATTGTGGTCGTACAGCCGAGTCAGGAGAACAGTCTCCCGCTGCCCACTGGGGTCATAGTAACAAGGGAGCTGCTGGTTCATCTTCAGATGCTTGGAGATATTTATAATTATATTGTGCATGGCCACGCTGTCCTTCTGGCACCTGGGCACAAAAAAACACTGCAAGCAGAGGTATGACGGACACAGAGGTTATCTAGAGCCCTATCATTTCGTCATACGTTTTGTTTTTATTTCACACTGCTGAATAAATCAACCTTCATGTATCATCTTTCAGCTTGACTAGGAAAATATCCAAATCCTCTCAACTAACATTTTCAGAATTTGGAACAGAGTATGCCTATAACCGGGCCAACATCTGATAGTCGCTGTCAACATTTGAAACGGTTCAATAATTTCCAGTATTTGCCCTCTAGCACAGTACTCACTTCAGAGCCGGCGTACTGGGTCTCTTCGTTGTGAGATAAACGGCTGACACGACCTGTGTTATTGACACTCACGTAGACCTGTAGGCAGGGGTATTTGGAGACTCTCCAGCAGTCTGACCCACAGCTGTAGGAACAGTTCCTGTCTGCTGTGACCGTAGAGTTGAGCACAGCACACACACCCTCCTCTGTCCACACGCTGCGGTGACATTTAAATGAAGACTCAGTTTAATGCAAAAAGCATTTTGGTGGTCTCAAATGAATTCTACTTGGCTCAGGGTATAATTTATTCCTGAAAATCTGGTTTTATAAAACATTCAAATTCTCTGGTTGAAAGATCATCGAGTTTGTCAACACGCGCATCTGATGAATAAAACATGTTTCTGACAGCAAAATCAAAGTTAACTCCTTCATAGAGTATTAAAGAAACAACAGGCCTGTACCTGTCTGCAAAGGAGCGCAGTGTGGTGATCCCCAGGACAAAGTATATCATGACAGAAGAGAGGATCATTCCAAGTCCTAGCAGAATGGCTCGATCTTCTCCAGCCTTAAGAGCTGTCACTGTCTTTTTCTTGTCTAATAAATCTACCTCACGAAAGGTCTGGTAGATTGACCTGATGAAAAGAAAAGTCATTATTTAAAAGCTACCATACAAATAATATCCCCTGAAACTCAAAGCACATGCATTTTAAGCCACTTTTTTCCCACCCTAAAGTGGTATAAATCAGTTACCTCCTTTCATTTCCTCTCCCCAGTGGTGCAGTATTTTTGGCCCCTGCCACAAAGAACATTTTTTGCAATGATCCACCTCCTCTTTTGCTCACTGAGGCAGAATGGAAAGATTGCTCAAAAGACCTGTGAATTATAACCAGTTTTATATTTAGCTATCATGAATCTTCACAGTTACTTTTATTACACTGAAATACACTTTCACTATGAGGGTCATAAACATAACAGAAATCCCAAGTCACCAGTTACAAAGCAAGTTTCTAAGTAAAAAGAAACACAAATTATACTGTACCTCTTATACATATTTGCTGTCAAACTCGTGATTTTTATGTCTAGACATATAAAGTATGTTGCAAACAGCAGTTCCTGATTATTATAAGAGTATTGTGCAGTGTTGGGGCAGGAAACATAGTGAACTCAACCAAGTAAACCACTCATTTAGAGCACAAAGAAATGCTACAAAGAGCAAACAAGATAACAGATGTCCACAGATGAAAGGTGTTATTGCTGATGATGTGGTCTATGAAAAACCTACTGTGCCTGCTGTATCACACACACCTCTGCTGTCAACACAAAGTCACTGGGTCCTCTCTTGGCACTACAACACCTTGTTTCCTCTCACTCTCTGCAGGGCCTGCTCTTGTGCAGAAAACACAAATGCCAACAAACAGACAGCTGAGACAATATGAGTTATTAGTCCTGGGTCAAACTAAAGGTCAAACTATGTGTTGTCATTTAGACATATAAAGCAATCATGAGTCAAATATGTTTAAGAAATATCAATCAAATAAGTATGAAGGTTTATTTTTTTCCCTTTAGATCCATAACAATCAGTATAGAATAGATTAGATTTTGAATCGCTGGACCTCATTCAATACTCTAACATTTGCACACAATAAGCAGGCTGTTTTTATTTTTGATGGGGATGACAACCTCACCCAAGTGCTGGAAGAAGAATGGTCCTAAAACAAGCCAAAGTTCTTCTTTGATGAGTAATTTCCTTATTGTATTACTTTTGCAGCTGCTTAGAAAATGAAAATATTGCTAAGACCCCAGTGGGACACAAGACATCGGAAGGAAACATTTCACGTAACTTTGCATGCATCACCACAGGAAAGAGTCACATGAATGTTAAACTCTGACTTTTAAACTTTGCTCCCCTGTAAAAGCATGCTGACCATTTCTTCACAAGTGCCACAAGTTCCACACATAGCTGTATTGATTTCAGCTAAACAAGGACACACACTCTCAGAAAGATTACCTTACACCTTGTGTCTAGTTTACAAGTCAAGCAAAAGATTTTATTGGGTCTTGAGAGCTGTAAATATGTTGGTAGCTCTGCCTCATAACAAAAAACAGGAGAAAAAGTCCGCACACTATATTGATTTCCCAGCATTTTAATTCAGCATACAGGGCTTTCCAAACAAACTCACAACATTTGGACATAATGGTCAAAATCTGAAATACATATTTTCCACATTCCAGATTGATTTTAGTGATTTACAATAAAACATTGTTTTTACACACACACACACACTATATGCACACACACAAGTGTGTGTGTGTGTGTGTGTGTGTGTGTGTGTGTGTGCGCCTTTGTATTCCTTACATCATGAGGACTGAAACCTGTTAACACACTCATACTGTGGGGACTCAGCCATCCTTGTGGGGACTAGCTTCTGGCTTCAAGGGAATCACTGAATTTTACGGTGGCAACATGGTTTAGGGTTAGGATGAGTTTAAGGGTTTAAGGTTATGTTAAGTGCTAGGTATTAGGAAAGTAGTGGGTATGGTTAAGGTTAGGATAAGTTTACAGGAAATGAATGTAAGTCAATGTAAAGTCCCCACAAGGAATGAAAACACAGCATGTGTGTGTTGACTAGTAACAGGGAAATTGCTAAAACTTAACTGAATCCGTACAGGTCTCTGTTTTTAAGTACTCTATTTTTATTCCTATTATCTCATCTCAATGAGCATTCCTTCGTCTGTCTGCATTGTTTACTGACTGTTTATACTGTTTATTTTGCATTGTTTGCACAGTTGGTTGCTTGTTAATTGCTGGTTTATTGTTTACTTGCCCCTTGCATGGGGATATGTACATGCACATTGAGAACTGATGTACCTGAGTCAAATTCCTCATGTGTCTGACACACCTGGCCAATAAAGCTGATTCTGCTTCTAGCATAAACAAACAGACTGGGTAGACCGAGGCCGATTTACTTTAAATAAAGATTTTAATAGTTGCAGCCCGCTGTTTGTTGCTTGTAAATACTGCTTATTTTGTTATATTACACAGCCTTATGCTGCTTTACTGTTTACTTGCCCCTTGCATGGGGATATGTACATACACATTGAGAGCTGGTGTACCAGAGTCAAATTCCTCGTGTGTCTGACACACCTGGCCAATAAAACTGATTCTGAATCAAAAGTATTATTCTAGTCATAGGCTGAAAATGGCTCTGAATGACAGTGAAAATTTGATTTTGAAATTTTGATTTTAATCATATTTGAATCCTTCCTGTTACTGAATATTGGCAAAACTACTGAGTGTGCAGTACCACCACATGAAACACTGGAATGAGACAGTCTTTGTGTGCCTGAGGAGCTACTCCAGCACCCAGCACTAGTGTGAAACTGCTTACCCCAGCAGGAACATAGTTTAAATTCTCAGTTTAATGAACTACACATCCTGAGCCAGGGGCAGATACGATCAGCTGACCTCATTGTATATTCTTTATGGATATGTACTTGGTTCATATTTCTTCCAGCTGCCTCTCTCCTCCCTCTGAAAGAGTGGTCAAACGAATGATAACCCAAAAAGACATGATACTGCGCAGGCCTACCGGGCACATGACCAGGCCAGACCAGTTTTGCAACCAATAGTAGCGCCTGAGAATTCACCTGCAGAATGTCCCTAAAAGAAACACAAGGCGACTACGAAGCAACACAAAATGACCACAAAGAGACACAAAACAACCACAAAGGGATACAAAAGTACTGCAATTGTTGAAAAATGTCCACATAGAGATAGGAACAGCCACAAAAAGATTCAAACTTATGACTGGGTGACATAAAGGACAAAATAAAACAACACAGAGACACTAAACACTTGCAGACACCAAATGACTACAAAAACACAAAACAACTACATGAAGATACAAAAATAACCAAAAAGAGATGCAACATGACTACAAAGACTCAAACAACTATGAAGAGACAAAAAAACAGAGACACAAAACAAGTACAAAAAGACACAAATACAGTGAAGCAAAATGATGCTAAACAACGTCAAAGAGACTTTTATTGACTTTATATTAAATGTACATCACTGGCCTCAGGGCTAAGGACTCAGCCTCAAATTTGCCTCAGTTGTAGTTCACTCTCACCTTGCACATTTAACAGGACTGTGGAATTCAAAGCCTGGCCTGCTATCAAGACACTCTTGTCTCAGAGTCGTTTTGTCTCATCCCTCTAGTAATTATTGCTTTCCTGTCAGTAGTCCGAGCATTTGGTGTCTTAAAAAAGCCACATGCCCCACTGCATAGCACCCCACTGAGTCCTAACAAAGCAATAAGCACTTACCTTACACAGTGTTAACAGTGCAAGGCATACTAAGTTGCATGTCTCAATCATGCTGTTCATAACATTGTACACAAAGCAAGGTCAAAACCCAGTTGTCCACAGTTGCACTATGTGTATTTTGCTATTGTTACTGTCTTCTTGTTCTTCAGTCAGACTGAAAAGCATGATTATTATGATTCATTGGGACACATCAAAATTAGAAATCGCTGAACAATTTTTATTAAGCAGGTCAGTCAAAAAATCCACATTGTAGCAAAATCTGAGTACTTACAGTATAAATGACCTATATAGAAATCAAAATTCTTTCCTGTTCCCAGCTATGTGCTGTGTGTTGACCCTCTACTGTGCGCTGGATCATTGTTAACCACATGGTCTGTGCTATCTGTGTTCAGAGCTTCTGTGTTCCTCCCTGGTGCCTGTAAAGCTCTCACATTCAAATTACAATAAGCTCCAGCTTTTGTGTGTGACTGTCATGTGCCGATTTGAAATAGCAGCGGTAATATGTCAAATCTGTGAGGTCCTACCTCTTGTTGCTGGGTTGTTAAGATAATCCAGACTTTGGGCTACAACTGTCAGCTGTGGCTCTCCAACATGGTCTGGGCTCCCAGGGACAGCAAATGGCTACCTCTTATTTAAACTCTTACCCCAAGTGTACAGGATGCCTGCCATACCTGTGTTAGTAATATGAGTTCCCTAC